GAGCTTTTTGTCACATTGGCCTTTATTTGCTGTCGTCCACCTTTTCTCTCTCTTTGGAATTGCTTGTGTCTTTAGTATTTCCTTTTTAAAGAAACTACTACCCATCTTGGACTCCTTTTCCTGTTAACATTGTTTGCCATAGGACATTACTTATCATTGTTCTGAGTTTATGCAAATTGGCTTTCCTAAAATCCAGCGTACCTATGCGGCTACACTCTCTTTTTATTTGAAATCATTTCCCCCCAGAGTTCCCCTTAGTGTTACTTCTTGTACCAAGCCATCTCTGTGGGTTAGAATCAAGTCAAGGATAGCTTTTCCTCTAGTTTCTTCCTGTACTTTCATAAAAGAAAATGATTAGCCTCACATGCTGGGAATTTCTTGGAAGGGCCGTATTTGGCAGAATTTGCCTCCCAAAAGATATCAGGATAAATAAAATCTCCCTTTACTATTACCTTGTCTCTTTGAAATTCTTGCAATTTGTTTTTCAAAGGTTTCATCCTCAACTTCTACTTGATTGGGTGGTTGGTAGTAGATGTCAACTGCCATGTTCCTTTTCTTCTTCATACCAAGTATTTTAATCTGGATGCTCTCGATGGGACAACAGAGCTCATTCTCCTGTATTTCTGTGCAGGAATACAGTCAACCCTCAACTTACAAACTTAATCGTGACCAAGAGCATCAGATGATAAACTAATTAGGAAAACTATATAAATTCCTTCTAAGCTGGAAAATGGAGAACAGGTCAAAGAAACGATGGTTCAATGGGCACAAAATTTTGGATATAATATTGACTTTGAAAAATGGCAAGAGCTGTCATCTAGAAACTATAAGATGACAAGGGCAACATCCTATAAAGAGAATTTATATAAAATGTTTTATAGATGGTATTTATCTTCTGACAGATTATCTAAGATGTATTCTAATAGGTCAAGTAAATGTTGGAAATGTCATAAAAAACCTGGAACTTATTATCACCTCTGGTGGACTTGTGATAAAGCAAAAAGCTTTTGGAACAAAATACATACATGGCTTGTTAAAATAATTAAAAAGCATGTAGACTTTAAGCCAGAGCTCTTTCTGTTAGGTATAATACCAGAAAGTGTTGATAAACAAAATGTATATTTAATACTGCATATTTTAACAGCTGCGAGGATTATATATGCACAGTATTGGAAATAGGAAGGAACACCTACAAATCAAGAAATAATTAAAAAGATACAATAAAAAAAATACATGGATAGACTAACATTGAAAATCAAAGCAAAAGAAGATACAAAAATATTATTAAACATGGGACTTGTTCTATCAATGGTGAAGGACATTGTATAGATTAGGAGCGTAATGTCTATGGTAGTTGTTTTAACAAATGAATATAAGCTGTACTCAGGTGGCACAATGTTAAATCAATATGGATGGATTTTATATTTTTTTATTTTATTTTATTTATTTATTGGACTTATATACCGCCCCAGAGCGCTACA